GAAGTTGTTAATGTATCATGTTAACTGGTAGTAAAGTCATATATTATAGAAAGAATTTCAAGGTATTAGCTAATTATCTTCTTGTTTTCTCACAGTCAATAAGAAATTCAATTCACCTTAACATCTCAGTTCCTCCTAACAAATACAGAATTAATAAATGGTGATGAAACTATTGATTTTATTGTATAAATAGAAACACTATATTTCCTTGACACATTTTAAAAGATTTAAATCAGTACTATACTAGATAAATTCAGTTGAAGGAAAAGAATTCACAATAGAGAATAAGTTATATAAGTGGAAACTACCTCACCGCTATGTTGCATTTGATTTGAAGATTATCTCTGTAATCACCTATCAATAGGGGTCCAAATGATGTTAACTGCTAATTATGTCAGGGATAAGTCCCTGAGGTAGAATTGTAAATCTAATTTTGTGCAATCTGAAAGTTCTTCCTGAACTCTGAGTTGTAATTTAAACAGAAAAAAATTATAGACCATACCAAATAAGAGTAGCTTATCCTCCATGAACTGAATAAGAACATTTCTGTCCTCTTTTATCATAGTACTTTGGACCATGGAGTCATAAATTAGGATATTTAAGGCCAACCCAAGTGGAATAGAGCTCCCGACAAACCCAGGATTAATAAAAGATGATGGAGCTATTCAGCCATTAAGATTCAATATTTCCCTTGTTTGTCAAGGGCATTTGAGTGAAAAATAAAAACCTGATCAGAATTTAAAGTGTAGTGTAAATAAAGAAAAATTGGGAGTAAATGTGGAGAAATATAATGAGCTCCTATTTGGTAAAATCCAGCATTCATTTCTCTGTAGAATAATGCCTCAAATCTTTGCCTTCTTTGAGTGATATAGAAGTCAACATGATGGCAACTTTCCCCGAAGGCCATGAATAATTGTTGGATCAACCTTGGTCATATTTTTCTTTTACATAAATTAAATTTGAAAGTAGCTGAGGTTTGTTAGAAATGTTTTAGGCCATTCTTGATGAACTCAGCCACCCAAAGAATGCTGTTTAGAGTCTTGAAATAGCAAATGAACAGTACATTTTTCTTGTATGTTTGGATAGAACACAGGGTTTGCAAATCTTCTTAAGTAGATAGACATGAATTTTTGACTGTCTAGGAGATGCATGTTAGTTGAATTGACTCTCACTTCACTCTATTTCAAATACATGTTATAATGTTCCAGAACATTCTATGATTTGAAAAATGCTTCATATTGAAAACATAATTTATAGCAGGCAAATTATAAATTGGACATGTTTAGCAGGGAAGGGGAAGAGAGAGCAAAACAGGGGAAGGAAGAGTCCAAGAGACCATGACAGTTCATACCTGACAGTTACACCTGGGAGGAGAAATCAAACATTGTACAAAAATGAGTAACAATGTAAAACATATATAAATAAAAATTAACAAATAAACATAGTTTAATAACTTGATACCAGTTGGTGAGTAGAATTTATTTCTTTTGCATCAATTTTTTGCATCATCTTTTCAGTTGCAGTAATGGTGTTTTACAATATTGTTTATGATTCAGAGGTACAGGTTCACACCTCTTCAGATGTATGTTACCACTACACACCCACCACCAAAGCATCCATAATCCTTCACCAAATTTCATTGTGCCACTTCTCTGTTGACTTCCCCGTCCTCACCTTCTCCTCTACAGTTAGATTTCTACAATTTGTTTATTTTCATATGTTTCTTTGTTTAATTTTTGTATATTCCACATAAGAAGGAAATCATCATGTAGTATTTTGTCTTTTGAGGAGAATCACTTTCTGAAGAATCCTCTGGCACATTATTTTATTGAGTAATTTAAAATTTAAAAATATCTTTTCAGTAAACCTTTTGCTTCTAAAATAAGATTCATGCTTAGATACTCTTTCAATAAGCCACATGATTTCCTTTACAAGGGGAGGTATATTAGTAGGTGTTCATGTTATATCTTTATTATCAGTACAGTGAAACAGTGCTGAAATTTTTAACTACCTTTGACAAATATACAGTTAGATTACATTGTATTGTTAACAATCTACAAGTATGTATTAAGTGTCTTAAAAGACCCTGAACTGTAAAACTACTTGTCCTTTTGTTTTATTTTCTGAAAGCACCTATCATAGTGCCTGTCATATGATAAATGGCTAATAAGCCTTTACAGGTCTTTGATACCTTTGTTACCATTTACTATAAAATAAAAGATTTTCAGAAATAAATTAGGCAAGTTCAGATGAATAAATGTTCAAAAAATTATCTTGAAGTATATGTTACCAGTCACTTACCCATAGACATTATTGATATTTAGTTAGCATTGAACATAAAATACAAACTCTGCCATGTGGTATCTATCCTGGTACTACCTCAGCATCCTGGACCTTTCTATAGTCCAATAATTAAAAAAAGTCTGGAATACCGGGTTGCTCCATAGCCCAGAGTATATTCTGATTGAACAAGGTGAAGTATATACTGTTGTTAAATATCTTGGTTATCACCCTTCTCCACTAATATTGGAGATACTGGAAATATTGGAGATATTGTTTTTCTTTAAATGAAATTTTCTTGATTTACCATTAACTTACAACTCCATATAGTTTTCAGGAGTACAGCTTTGCACCTCTGTATGTGTGTAAGTCTTAACATGCCACGACTGGTGTTATAGTTCTATTCCCACTATCAGAGTGACTCCTTCTACCTTTTCTTCCTCCTCCTTTAGTAACTACCATATTTTTCACAGTCTAAGTGCTGTTTTAGTGAGTCGTGTACCATCAAGTGTGTGTATGTGTATGTATATGTGCATATATACTCACAACTTCTGTATCTGAAATATTGTTAATTTTCTAGAAAATTGCTGTGTTATACTTATTTCTTCGGTGTAGGAGGATATATGTATATTTCACTGCCTTTAATATATAACTTTATATTTTAAATCTCTAGGGAGAATATCTATTTCTCAAACTTCTTTGACTATGAAACTATTTTCCTACACAATATCAATTTATGTTAGTTGATATAATGTGTATAGAAATTCTAAATATTTAGGATAGTCCTTGTTTCTCATATGTATAAAAATTAGCATTATTTGCTTTTTTGGGTTATTGATTGTGACAAGGCAGAAAAAATGTTATAGTGGACTATTGTTTTAGTGAGGCTAGACTGGGTCATGCTATAAGAACCTATAAGCTCTGGGTCTTGATTGGTTTAATACAAAAGTTGCTCATGCAAAGATTTCTGTGGGTCAAGACACTGTCAAGTAGTGACCCACTGATGGACCTGTTTTTCCTTATGTTGGGGAGCAGGTGGACTGTCTGGTGAGCCCTACTGTCTCTACCAAAATCATGTTGCCAAAATCAGTGATCATACGGTTTAATATTTTGATTGTTATTTTTATTTTGATAAAAATAATAACAAGCTACAAGCTTTTGCTTCCTCCAAAAGTGTTTTTCCCTAATTAGCCTGCAAATTGGCTATTGAAAAGTATCAGTAGGCTTTGCTTAGCTCATTCTATCAGTGTATGTTGTTATTTTTAACCATTATATGGTCATGCATTTAGTTTAAGTTTTAAATATCAAATTAATGCAATAAATCTACAGAATTGAGAGTTTGGTTATCAGACTTATGTATTTTTTTGACATCTTGTCTACTTAATATTGTTCATTTTTCTTTGTGTATATGTGGTTAATTTATATGTAGATACTTAAATAAAGACTTCTTTTTTTCTAAATATCTAAATACTGTCTTTTACCATGACTGTCTCCTAAAGAATACTTGTCTAGTGAGAAATATTTACAGATTTTTCACAACTGACAATCTGTTGAAGAGATAGTCTTATCTTTGTTATCAAGCGACTAATATAAAGGATATGAACACTGACAGAACTTCACAAGAGCACCTGCACACAGTCTTCTGGGGACCCTAGTGCAAAACAATTTGTTGTTAATTGATCAGTTTTGTGAATAGCACATTCACTCACATTTATCCAGATGTTGAAAAAGCCTCCAATATTGCCTCTAGACTCTTAAGGCTCTGGGTAATCTCTCTGCATTTGAACATTTTATGGGAAGGAGAAACCACTTTAACTTGGTGTGGACCAGTGCTGAAGGACGCTACGGTAAAGGAAGAGATGAGACCCTTCTACTCAGTACTTAAATATTTCTCTAAAATGATTTGGACTTAGCATGGTCCATTAATATAATTTTTCTTTGCCATCTGTAGGGGAGGGAAATTGTCTTCTTCTTCTCTTTTAAGTATTCAGCTGAGACTCCTGTAACAAGACAGATTAACAAGAGGACAGAATACAAATGTATTTAATATAACTTTTATGAGACTTGGGAATCTTGATAAGGAAAATAAGACCTGAAAGAGATTGAACCTGAACATTTTTATGCCACTTTTGGCAAAGAGAGGAAAGTCACAGGAAAATATTATAGAGTAAAACGATATAAGCTAAGTGTAGTAAACTAAGGGAAGACAGCTGTGCTTCTTTCTTCAGATTCCTCTTGGTACCCTCACTCTTGGAGATATGGGTGTTTTTTTCCTACTAGTGTCAGAAGGGCACATCCCACATGAGGTTTTTAAGACTTACTTCAGAGGAAGTTCAGAAAGTCCTTCTGGCACAATGACACTTCTCACATTCTTTGAGCTTAAAATATTCAGTGTGCCAACGCACCATATTTTGGAGTAGTGTATTCTTTCTTTCTTTTTTTTTGCATAGCTTAGTAAAAGTTTTTTCTCAGAAAAGAGTCTACAGGGTGGACTGTTGTGTTTTGAACCCCATCAATGCTATGAGTAAACATCCAGGAAAGCTCAGTGGGGACAACTGGACCTGATACTTTCCTTCTTGGGTTCTCTTATTCTTTCTTTTTCTTCTCAAACTCCCTCAGCAGACATGACCTTTGACAATTTAAGAAATTCATAATGCTTTTGTAGAATCTACTGTGAGAACAAAGACTGTAATCAACAATCATACTGTCTGACATTTCAGGTAATATCCACATCTCCCTGAATGGATGCACAGTTATAATGAAGAGCTCTGGGGAAACCTGGGAAAGGACTTCAATCACATCAGTGTTGAACTCAGTTTCCCAGGGGAAAAAAGAAGAGGTTTTGGGTTGACAAAAGGAACTTTTGCACTGTCTGTAGTCACGTATGGAACATTATCAAGGGTTTTACATTGAGCTTCTGTAACAAGGTGAGGTCTGTGTATGCTCATTTTCCCATCAACACTGTTATTTAGGAGAATGGGTTTCTTGCTGAAATCAAAATTTCTGGGGTGAAAAGTACATTTACAGGATTTTGATGAGACCAGGTGCAGAGTATTTAGTATCTCAAGCCTGGGAAGATGAGTTAATTTTTGAAGGAAGTGACATTGAACTTGTATCAACTTTAGCTACTTCAACTCAGCAAGGCACAAACTAATTAAAAGCAAAGGTATCAGGAAATATTTGAACAGTATTAGTGTTTCTGAAAAAGGAACAGTTCAGCAGGCTGATGGATGTGAACTAAGTTGTCCAGCTTCTTCAGACCTATTTTGATATCATTAAGATGGCATAAAAGCCATTACTTGTGGAGATTGGAGTGATTTGGAGGGAAAAAGAAGTTCATATTGAGCATATACTAGGTAGCAGGTATACGAAGCCCCTGTAGGGCAAAGAGGAACCCCTCCGGATTTTTCTCAGGCAGGCCATTACATTAACATCAGGCAATTATGTTAACATCAGACAGATTAATAGGAGAAAAAAGTTCAAATTTAAGTACATATGTATGAAGAATCCACATAGAGGTGGATTCTACAGCAAATGGGGCAACGTGAGAGTATATATCCGTAGCTAAGGAATGGGATAGGGACCCAAGTCTTCAAGAAGAGAGGAGAGGACTAACAGTGCAGGAAGAATGACTCATAAGATGAAGACCAGATATGCTGTAATTCCATGTTTGTCCTACCATGTATACCAGTTTCTCCAATATAAAGGCTATTTCTGGTAAAACTCCTAATTTTGTGTAATATCTCCCCACTTCTCATTCTTCTATACCTAGCAGGGAGTGGTAAATGTGTCTGTTAGGTCTGAAAGCCATGACAGATGTCCACGTTCCAAAATAATTTCCAAGAAATGTCTGCTCTGCCCCATAACAGTTACTAAGTTAACATGTCATCATCTAGAGGCCTCCCTGGTGGTGCAAAGGAGTTGGCATCAGCACTATGAAGCTATCCGCAGCCCCTGAAGCACAAGTTTGCTCTCCGGCCAGGGAGCTACCCACATGGTGCAGCAGACCTCTCCTGGCTCACCTGCTGCTCCCCTCAGCAGTGTATTTCAGTAGATCTGCCTGTTCTGCTCCCCACTCTGTCTCTGGTGAATCTTCTCATGCCCCGCACCTCTGGCCTGTACCCCAGTTCTTGTATGTATAAATAAATAAATCTTTAAATAAAAAACATGTCATCATCTAAAAACGAGCTATTGTTAGAGGAGACATGGCCCTGTCTCTTTTGTTTGAGCAGAGCTCTGGCATGTACAGGTCATTCTTTTCTCCACCTGGAGCATGTGCTCACCCATTTCCTCACTGTACCTCTTTTCTCTCTTTTATTTAATTCTTGAAATATTCCTTTAACCTAGGCGTAGTAATAAATAATTAGAAATTTATTTCTAAAGATATAATAAGTGAAGGAAACGTTCTCTGAGGAAGATCTTGTGTAAGGCAGGTTTTTTCATTTTGTCTGACATTGCCTTCCAAATGAAGATAGAAGGAACTGCAGCTACATTTTAATTGTGCATGTATGTATCTGAGGAGCCTTTAGAAACAGCTTAGAAAATGGTTAATTCCTTGAGCAGGTTCATTACAAAGTGTGTACTTATTTAAGCATATTCTTGGATCCTCTGCATTCAGATGGCTTGGTTAGTAATATATGCTACTCTTTCCATCGTTTGCATATCAGAGACCGGGCCTGCTGCCCCTCTTCCCCACTGCTGCTGCTGCCTCTACCTGGATTATGCAGATTCTGGTTTAAACCTCTTTATTCCCCCCCCCCCCCCCCCCCCCCCCCCCCCCCCCCGCCGCAAGTGCTCGGCATGATAGGCTTCATTTCTGTGAACAAATGATAATGGATTTCAGCTTTCACCGGTGACATTTGCAAACTACTTGTCTCAAATAATATGTGTGCTACACAATAAAACTGGTCACCCTATTCTAATGATGTGAAAAAGTAAATAAAAAAGGAATGCTGTTAAGTATGTAGAGGGCAAATCTTGAAATGAAGGTGAATGAAGGTGGGGGTCCTAATTATTTTAATGGAACCCATTTTACGATTTTGCAAGCTGGATATAAAGGACAATCTTATAGATAGTGGGTACTTGGTATAATGAAGGGAGGGCTCTTAGAAGAGATTTAATATATTCTGTCATATGTTCAAGGCTATAAAACATTTCAACAAATCAGCTAACATTTGGGAAATAGCAAAGATTGAAAGTCAGCATAGTGTACCACAAACTGGAGTCCTTCCTGCCCTTTAATCTGAGTACTACTTTTATATTAAATAAATACTTATCACTGATTGGCGTTAATTCCTATCTCACTGAGTTTACAGTGCCTTTTGCTACTCTAGATGTAAGGTGACATAAGTTCGTGTCTAAAATACTGAGCAACTTATAGTTATAAAAATAAACATAATATGTGAAGGGTGTGAAGAGAGTTTTGATACATTTGTCAGATTTAGGCTTTTATGGCAGCTATCTCTGGACAGAAGAAGGATAAGACCACAGACCAGGGCCCACAGGCCAGAGTATTTGAAAAGAACAGGAATATTTCTTTCTCTAAAGAATAATGACCTTGAGGATCATATTAGTGAAACTTCAAATCCCAGTTTTGGTTCTTGAGGCTAAGAAATCTTTGCTTTACTCCTTATTCCCATTTTCCTCTTCCTGTATACTACTAGCAAGAGCATGTTTTCTGCCTTTTCAAAATTATATTCCTGCCTTTACAAAGCACATTTTGTTGAGCATCTCAAGCCTATGCTATTTTGTTCTGTAAGAGAAGAAGGAGGCTTTTTTGCTCCAAATGCCCATGAAGGACCCTTCCTCATTTCATATTCCTGAATCATCTGGATCCTTGCGCTGGGAGTATTGACTTGTGGCAGTGACACCTCCACCTCTGTGTAATATGTCTTTCAAGTGAGAAGCCTTTCCTGGTCAATACTGAATCAATTTGCTCTGGCAGTCTAATTGAATGCCTCCTTCAGACAAATGGGTCACCGGGGGAAAGGGTAAAACCTTGATATGCAGATCTGAATTGCAGCCCTGGAGAAGGATGTTTTAAATATATATATTCCTCCTGAGAAATAGCCCATGTAACCAAAGCAGTGCTAGTTATTTGCTCAACAAAATAAACAGATCTGTTTACATCCTTCTTGTTGGGCTAGTATTTAACTTGATCTATGCAGAGAGAGAAAGAGAGAGAGAGAGAGAGAGAGAGAGAGAGAGAGAGAGAGAGAGAGAGACCCCTAGGATGAGACATTTCTTGCCTTTTGGGGCATATAGATATCCTTTAAAATGCATGCCATTTCCATTTAGCAAGTTACATGGATGTTTAAATTATTTGATTTTTATTTATTTATTTATTTATAAAAGAACTGGGGTATAGTCAGAGGCGCAGGAGGGTGAGAAAATTCACCAGAGACAGAGTGGGAAGCAGAACAGGCTGACGGACCCAGGACACTGCTGAGGGGAGCAGCAGGTAAGGCAGGAGAGGTCTGTCGCGCCATGTGGGTTTCTCCCTGACTAGCCAGAAATTGAACCCACACTGCAGAGGCTGTGGACAGCTTCACAGCGAGGCACTCAACCCGCTGCACCACCGGGGGGGCCCTATTTGATATTCTTAAAATTCATAAAATATGACCTTTTCCTAAGATGAACTTGTTTTGTCCTCATTATCTCCTTGGGGGTTTATGAGAAGAAAGGGGCTGGACACTCACCTATGAGTGCTCAGCATTATGTTAACTTCTCTCTGAAAGCTCCCTTCTGTGCCCTTACTACAGACCCATTAAAAATATTAACCCTTGGGGCCTCCCCAGTGGCGCAGTGGTTGAGCGTTGGGTTGCGTAGCTGCCCGCAGCCTCTGCAGCGTCGGTTCGATCCCCAGCTGCTTCCCGGCCACCGGAGGAGGGTCCCACATGGCGCGCAAACCTCTCCTGCCACCTGCTGCTCCCCTCAGCAGTGTATTTCGTCAGTCTGCCTGTTCTGTTCCCTGCTCTGTCTCTGGTGAATTCTCTCACCCTCCCGTGCTTCTGACTGTACCCAGTGCTTGTATAAATAAATAAATAAATCTTTAAAAAAAAATAAAAATATTAACCCTTGAGCCTCCCTGGTGGCCTAGGGGTTCTCAGTGCTATCACAATACCGCCTGAGTTCCATCCCCTCCCAGGGAGCTGACCCACATGGCGCAGCAGACCTCTTCTGTCTTGCCTACTGCTCCCCTCAGCAGTGTATTTCAGTAGATCTGCCTGTTCTGTTCCCCATTCTGTTTTTGGTGAATGCTCTCACCCCCTGCACCTCAGGCCTACACTCCAGTTCTTCTACACAAAAATAAACATTTAAAAAAATAAAAATGCCCCTTATTTACAGAGGAGGAAATTCAGAGTTTGGTAACTTGCCCAAGATAATTTAGTTCCTTATTAGTATGAACCAGACTGTTATTCCAAGGCTGATGCTTCTTTCCCCATGAAGTTGAATTTTTATATCACTTTAAAAAATGGTCTAGTTAGGACAGCTCTTCTTATTATCTTTCTACCTCCATGATATGAACATATGTGTACATTGAATGTTTTCCATTGGTAACAAATTGCTATAAATTTAGTGGCCTCCCACAAAAGGAATATATTCCTTTTCTGTTTTGAAAGCCAGAAGCCTAAAAATGGGTCTCACTGAGATTATATCAAGGTGCAGCAGGCTTGCATGCCTTTCTGTAGGTTGTAGGGGAGAATTTGCTTCCTCACCTTTTCTATCTTGGAGAAGCTTCCTTCATTCCTTGGCTCATGGTCCCTTCCTTCATCTTTAGAGCCAGAAATGGCTTATTGAGTCTTTCTCACATTGCATCATTCCAACTACTCTAGTCATGCTGTGATTACATTGGGTTCAACAGTATAATTCAGGATAATCTTCACATCTAAAGGTAAACTGATAAGTAACTTTAATTCCATCAGCA